CCTGGCACAGCCCACAGGGGAGGGGCCGGCTGGCAGAAGCGTCAGTGTCACAGTCGGCAAGAGCACGCTGTGCTCGGGGGGTCCCCAGGGGCCGAGGGGAGGCGGGAAACTGCAGTTAACAGTGAGGACGTCACCATAGTTACACGTCGAGTTCAGCCTGGCGCCTCGCTGCACGATTTTACGCTGATCCCACATATTCCTTAAAGCAGGCATGTCACACTCACAGGCTGACACGGGCCAGATAAACGAGGTTTGAGTGGATGTGGCCGCAAAATCAAAAGCTTCCATTTTCTTCTTTTTCTTAAAAATATATTTTTATTGATTTCAGAGAGGAAGGGAGAGGGAGGGAGAGAGATAGAAACATCATCGATGAGAGAGAATCATGGATTGGCTGCCTCCTGCACGCCCCCTAGTGGGGATCGAGCCCGCCACCCAGGCATGTGCCCTTGACCGGAATCAAACCCGGGACCCTTGGGTCCACAGGCTGACGCTCTATCCACTGAGCCACACCAGCCAGGGCAAAAGCTTCCATTTTCATAGAAACGTAGGTTTATTTCGATGGAGACGTGCTGAATACAAAGGGTTGAAATAAATAAGTCATTGTTCACATAATAGAACATTTTAATAAAAATTAATCTTTTTTCTTGAACATTGACTTATCAGACACCGAATAAATGCACAAATGGATAAGAGTCAGGCCAATAAACCCATTTTTCTCGTTCTCTGAAAGCGAGGTATTTCCTGTTGCGCACACTAAGCAGGTCAGTCCCAGACCAAGGACGTGGCCTTCGGCTGCTGGAACATTCGCTGCCGGTATCAGTGGAGAGAGACGGTGCGCCTGCACGTGAGGCGCGTAAGGGAAGCGAATGCAACATGATGCTAGTCATCAGTCATTAGCGAACGTTGTAGCTCATTATTCATAATTATGTACAACAGGATATTGTAAAAATTAAGTTATAAAATTTTTATTAGAACGTTCCTTACATTCCGTTCTATTGGCTGGGATGCAAAAATATCCGTTGTGGGCCGCAAGTTTGACATGCTTGCCTTAAAACGATGGAACAGGTACGTTATTCCCGTACTAGAGGCCTGGTGCACGAATTTGTGCACGGGTGGGGGCCCTCGGCCTTGCCAGTGATCGGGGCCGATCGGGGCCGGCCGGCTGGGGTAGGGACCACGGGAGGTTGGCCAGCCGTGAGAGGTTGGCTGTGAGAGCGCACTGACCAGCAGGGGGCAGCTCCTGCATTGAGCGTCTGCCCCCTGGTGGTCAGTGCGCGTCATAGCTGCCAGCCGGCCGTCCGGTTGTAAAGGTCACTTAGGCTTTTATATATATAGTAAAATGAAGACACTGAGAATGAAGACAGCTAAGTCACTTGGATCCTAACAGCTGAGACCTGTGCCCGCGTACACACAGCTGTCAGGCACTGACTGTCAGGAGCTGGGCACAGAGCGTGTCCTAGCGGCTAGGGAAGGGGGTGCCCGGGCGGGGTGGGGCGGGGCCTGGCGGGAGCCACTCCCTCTTGTGCTTTCTGCTCACGTGACTTGTCACTCCTTTTCAGACAAAATGGTCTTCGTTGGCTTCAAAGGCAGCTTCCGGCCCACCTGGGTGACCCTGGCCACCGAGGACCACCAGGCCAAAATCTTCCAGGTGGTGCCCATCCCCGTGGTGAGGATGAAGAGGCTGTGAGGAGCGTGACAGCGGACTCCTGGCAGCGGACCCGGGCTGGGGGGGCGGGCGGGGGGCTGGCTCCCCAGTCCCTGCCCAGCGGCTGCCGGGAAAGACCAAGCATCGGCCAGGCCGAGGGAAGGACGCCGAGACCCCGGTGCCTCCGCCCGCCCCACTCGTGTCTACTGCAGCTCTGGGCCAGCCGATGCGGACACCTCATCTTCCCTGCGGCTCGTGGGTGCTTCTCTCCCATCCGTGCCTCTCGGGGGAGGGGGGTTAGGGGCCATGCTCGGAGGCCTGGCTGGCTGGCAGCAGGGATGTGGATGGGGGCGCTGGGTCCCTCCCAAGCCCCCATGCTCCCAGCACACACATTAGGGGGGAAGATGTAGGCCAAGGAGCCCCGGTCTTAGGGAACCTTTATCCTGTAAGAAGCAGCCTTCACGGGGTTAGGAGTGGAGACGGACCGGCTGCGCTTGAAGAGGTGAGGCTGCCTCTGGGGGGGTCCACCTTTCAGGGGAATCCAGGTCCCAGGTTGAGATCGGACTGTGTGACTTTTAAAGTCAGAGATTCCCGGCGTCCGTGGCTCTCCCTGTTGTGCCTGGAACCAGGCGCGGGTGAGAACAGCCGTGATGCTGAGGACGGTGCCTAGGGGAGGGGCAGGCCAGGCAGTCAGGGACACGTGCCCCCAGAGGACCCAGAGTGTAAAATCGGGACCAGAGCCAGTTCCGAGGAGGGAAAGATCTTCCCTGCCTGGGTAAGTCAGGAAGACTTCCTGGAGGAGGCGGCAGGGGGCTCGCAGGAACGACGGGCAGCCTCCACTTTGCTCCAACTACCAGCCAGCCCGCACGTACGGGTGCACACGGCCGCGGCGACTCCATTGGTGCTACCCGTTCCCCAGACCAGCAGCCAACGCCAGGCCCGCCAAACGTTCTCTGCCAACCACCTGGGCTCCTGCTGTCCTCTCCCTCCCCCTGGCCCACCCGGGAGAAGGCCGAGAGCTCCATGCAGAGGGGAACGGCCTGTGGTTACAGCTGGTGCCGCCCCAGGGCACTTGGTCTCCAGATGAACTGCCTGCCCCGTCCTTCCCCAACCAGGACCTCTTCCCTCGAGAGGGCCCAGCTGCGCCCAGGAGGCCCGTGGCGAGTCGTTCCCAGGCTGCGCCCACAGCCAGAGGCGACAGCCGGGCGGCTGCGGCCCGTCCCAGGAAGGCCCTCCTCCGGGCAGGGCGTTAGTGACCTCATGTTCTTCTGTCTCTCGTTCTGTCCGTCTTTCCAACTCTTCGTGCAAGGGTCTCACACTGTGAACACGTGGGTGGGATACGGTCGCCCCGGGCGGCCGGGAACGGGCCCGACTTCGGTTCGGCCCGGAAAGAATCTATTTGAGGATCCTCAGCTGTACATACGGCCCGCGTCGAACCTGCCCGCACCCACCGCGGACACTTGTCTTACTGCCTAGAAAACTGGCTGCGTTCTTTCTGTGCGTGAGCGTCCCCACGGGCCAGGCTTCTAAGGAGAACTACACGCCTACAACACGCGTGTCCTTCTGTTGCCGAAACAGCTGGCCCTTTTCGGGAAGGCGCTGGAGAGTGTGTTGTATGTAAACATGTCTTGTGTGCGTCACGGGGACAGAGATCTATTTTCTATTTATTTATTATCTGTGCGCTTGGAGAAATCCTGGTCAGAGAAATGAAGACTGTTTGTTGTACATGTTGTCTGGGGGGGGTCCTTTGTCGGCTTGAAAGTGTCCCCGGGCCTTCGCTGGCCTCAGAGCGCACGGCTCTGGGGGAGGAACCTCGCTGTCCCACAGTAAACGCGCAAAGGTGCCACCTGTCTGTCTGTTCTTTCCCTTTAAACTGCGTCTCATCGCCCTGGCCGGTGTGGCTCAGTGGATAGAGCGTTGGCCTGCGGCCTGAAGGGTCCCGGGTTTGATTCCTGGTCAAGGGCACAGGCCTGGGTTGCGGGCTCGATCCCCAGTGGGGGGCGTGCAGGAGGCAGCCGATCCGTGATTCTCTCTCAACATGGATGTTTCTCTCCCTCCCTCTCCTTTTCTTTATATTTAATAAATAAATAAATAAACCGGGTCTCATAGCTGAGAAAAATAAGGTTGGTGAATTGCCCTCCGGGTCTGCTTTCACTATCCCAGCTATTTTCCTTTTTTAAAAAAAATATATATATATATATTTTTTTATTGGTTTCTGAGAGGAAGGGAGAGGGGAGAGAGAGAAACGTCCATGATGAGAGAGAATCATGGATCAGCTGCCTCCTGCACGCCCCACACTGGGGATGGAGCCCGCAACCTGGCCATATGCTCCGACCGGAACCAAACCCTGACCTCCCGTTTCTTAGGTTGATGCTCAACCACGGAGCCACGCGGGCCGGGGGTTAACCTTTTCCATCTCACGGCCCATAAACTAATTCCTAAAACCCGGAGGCAGAGCACAAACCGTGTTTCCTGCCGATCTGACAAGAGAAGGTCCTTGTGACCCACTCCCACCGGCGGCTGCTGCTGAGCTCAGACCCGGCTCCGGCGCTTCCTGGCCACGTGACCTGGAGGGAAAGGCCCACCTTCGCTGAGCTGAGCCCCAGTTGGCGTGGGGGGAAGGGGGTAGCAGAGCCCTGGGCCTGGGGTCGCTATGACAACGAGGTAAACGAACACAAGCCGCCGCCAGCACAGGGCGATCAAAGGGAAACGCCGAGGAAGAGGTGCCTGCGGATCCTCACAGACGCCTGGCAGCGCGGCTGGGGCCTGAGCTCCCACAGCAGCCAAGGAATTCCACTCCGGGCGGGAGGCGGGGGCCCGGGGCCGGCGGGTCTCTGCCGCCCCCTCGTGGACACCCGGCTCCATTTCAGAGGCTTAAGGGATCTCACCCATCTGTCCCCTCTGGGCCGGGGTGGCGCCAATCTGACGGTGCCTCTGGACTCACACCCCCTCTGGGTTCAAACTGCATGAGAAGCAGCAGCCAGGGGATGGCCCCTGAACACGCCCGGTCAGCTCCCCACCCTGCAGGGGGGTGGCCGGCGGCCGGGGGGCAGCAGGGCAAACACCCACCCAGAGACAGAACTGAGGGCGTGACCAGAACCAGGGGAGACAGACGCTGCGAGGCGCACCCTCCCCACACACACGTGTGCACACGCACACACACCAGGGGAGACAGGTGCTGTGAGGTGCACACCCATGTGCACACACACACAGACACTGCAGGGCCAACACACACACACACACGCACACACGGCGCTACAAGCTGGTAGATGCACGTGTTTTGGAAACGCAAACGGGAGCGCCTTCGGGGACAACAGGCGGCAGCGGCGAGGGAGAGGCCTGGGACCAGGGCACCTTCTGAGCACGTAGGTGTGTTATTTTGTTAAAATCACAATGGACGGTGTTTACAAACGACTGCAGCTCTGAAAAATGGCACCTGTGCGTAAACCCCGCCCCTCCCACCCAGACACCAGCGGGGAGGGCGCCGTGAGGACCACACACACATGTAGGCACTTCATCAGACACACGTGTACACATGGAGGAGGGGGGGCCCCTGGGCCGCCGGTTCCCGAGTGACCCCTTTTAAAACGGTCAGGTCACCTGGCAGACAGCCAGCGCTGGGGCTTCCTGAATAAGGGACAGACAGGACCCTGACCCCACGGCCCCCAGCAGCGGGCAGGGACCCAGAGTCCCTCTAACCGAGAAGGAGGGAGTCCCGGAATCCCAGGCAATGCGTGGGACCCCGAGGGACCGGATTTCCCGTCTCTGCGGTTCCTGCAGGGGGTGGGGGTGCACATGTCCTGGGGGCCTGTGTTCACTTCACAGTCACGAAGCGACGTTTCTGTGGCGCGCAGAGGCCGATTCAATGACGTCAGGTCTTAGCGTGTCTGCCTAGAACCCGGCGTCCTTCTCTCTCAAAATCAACGCACAAAACCCAAAGCACAGACACGAGACCGGAGCAGGAGCACTGGGGGCGGTGACGGCGGTCAGGGGCTCCCCTCCATGTAAGTGGGAAAGGCCACCGTCCGGCTTCCATCGAAGGCGACTTCACAGGAAACCTGACCTTGGCCGTGTCCAAGGAGAATGCGAAAGCCGTCTTCGTCCCTCAGCCTTTCCAACAGGAATTCTTAACTGCCCACAGCCCGGGCGTGTGGTCAGACAGAGCACGTGCGGGCTCTAGAAGCAGCCAGAATGCCAGGCGGTGTGGGCCCCACGCCCGCCCGCCCGTCACAGGTCCTCGCGCGTCTTCCCCGCTCGGTTGCCTTCCTTCGAGGCGCGAGGCTTCGCATCTCCCCCCTTCTTCTTGCCCTTCCCTGGCTTGGTCTGGTTTTTCTCTTTGCCGCCTCCGCCTCGGCCGGGGTACACCTGTCCCTCCAGGGTGACGTCCGCACACCTGTCCTGGCTGACCAGGAAGTCCTTGATCTCCCAGGCGTAGCTCCCGTCCCGCAGCATGAAGATGGCGCGGTCCGAGCCCACGATGAACCTGGACAGGGAGAGGCCACCGGTCAGCGCACGCAGTGAAGGGCGAAGGCAGGGGTGGGGAACCTTCTCCTGCCCGGGGCCATGTGGATATTATAACATCATCCGCGAGCCACACACAGTCATCAACTTGGACATTAGCCTGTGAGCCCGGCCGGCATGGCTCAGGGGTTGAGCGTCAACCTGTGAACCAGGAGGTCACGGGTTCAATTCCGGTCAGGGCACATGCCCGGGTTTCGGCCTTGATCCCCAGGAGGGGGCGTGCAGGAGGCAGCCGATCAATTAATCAATCAATCAATGATTCTCTCTCATCACTGATGTTTCTATTTCTCCCTCTGAAATCAATAAAAAAATAAACTACCCTGTTATATTTGGTCAAACCTTTAACTAACTCACCCCTAATGCCTTGGCAGGGCCAGACCAAATGATTTCCCGGCCTCACACAGCCTGTGGGCCGGACGTTCCCCACCCTGGACAGCGTTTCTGTGGCACTTAACCAGGAAAAACACTTCCTTTCAAATTCTACAGGAACACGGAACATACTGGACTTGTCGAAGCCCAGTAGCTTCTGAAACTTCATGTCTGAGATCCAAACAGAATGAACTGGTTCACCCCTCAGATCAGAAGCAGCACCTGGCCCGGCCGGCGTGGCTCAGTAGTTGAGCATCAACCTAGGAACCAGGAGGTCACAGTTTGGTGCCCAGTCAGGGCACAGGCCCGGGTTGTGGGCTCCATCCCCAGTGTGGGGCCTGCAGGAGGCAGCCGATCCATGATTCTCTCTCATCGTTGATTTCTCTCTCTCTCTCCCTCTCCCTTCCTCTCTGAAATCAATGGAAAAAAAAAAGCAACAGCTGGACTTGGTGTGGGGAGGTGGGAGCCGGCCTGGAGGGAATGAGGAGGCCCCGAGGCTGTGCAGGGGGTGCAGGGGCTGCTGGGAGCACAAGCAGCCTTGGTGCATCTGTTTCACGTTCCGAGGTGCCCGTTGAGGTTTCCTCTGCTGGTCAAGGCTGGAAACCACTGGTTTCGACTGGGTCACGCCAAGGCCTAGGAGGGCCTGAGAGGGGACCCGCCTGCTGGACAGAAGCCCTGGCCCCGGAGGTAACAGCAGCAGCCCAAGTCGCTCACACTCTTCACTCAGCAGGCGCCACGGAGCCAGAGGAAGAGACTGGGGTCTGGGTGGACCACTAGCTGTCCGTGGGCACGGCTCTTCTGTTCCTGAGGGGCTCCATCCAGATCAGTGGTAGCGGATCTGTTCCCGAGTGTCTACTTAAGCTGATGAAGGCATTCTGCCCGCCTTGACACTCTCGGATTCCTTCATTTCTTCTTATTACTTTCACTAGAGGCCCGGTGCACGAATTCATGCACAGGTGGGGTCTGGCCGGCCTGCCCCAATGGGGGCCGATCGAGGGTGAGGCCGCCGGGGAGAGGGGCCTTGAGAGGTTTGGGGGGGCGGGGGGGAGACTGGCCGCTGCAGTGCGCATCATGGCGACTGGCCGGTCCGGTTGCTTGGCTTTTATATATATGGGTACTTCTTAAACTAAGACCTGGGAAGACCCTGGATTTTAGAACTGCTATTGAGAAGGAAAAAAGAAATTCCTTGAAATTGCACCTTAGGCTCATACGGAGCTTCCCTTACACTAGTCACCTGTGAACCAGCTACCTGTGTGCACGGCCACCGAGAAAAGCACGCTCCACAGGGCAGGCACTTCGGAAGGAAGCACACGGTCCACCTGTAACTGACTGGGCCCCAGAGAGGCTAAACTAGACAACTTCTGACTCAGATAACAGTTAAAGGAACAAAGGTAAATAAAACTTCATGATGAAATAAGACAACAATGAAAACAACAAAAAGAACTTCTGGTTTTGACCAATGATGAATCTTCTTTCTTTTTTTTTTAAATATATATTTTATTGATTTTTTACAGAGAGGAAGGGAGAGGGATAGAGTTAGAAACATCAACGAGAAAAAAACAAAAAAGAAAGAAACATCAGAGAGAGAAACATCGATCAGCTGCCTCCTGCACACCCCCTACTGGGGATGTGCCCGCAACCAAGGTACATGCCCTTGCCTGGAATCGAACCCGGGACCCCCCCAGTCCACAGGCCGACGCTCTATCCACCGAGCCAAACCGGTCAGGGCTGAATCTTCTTTAAAGAACAGCCTGCTGCCCGGCCAGTGTGGCTCAGTGGCTCAGTGTCACCCTATGAACCAGGAGGACGAGGTTCGATTCCCGATCAGGGCACATGCCCGGGTTGTGGGCTCCATCCCCAGTGGGGGGCGTGCAGGAGGCAGCCGATCCATAATCCTCTCTCATCATTGATGTTTCTATCTCTCTCTCTCTCTCTCCCTCTCCCTTCCTCTCTGAAACCAATAAAAATATATTTAAAAAGAGTCCTAGCTGGTTTGGCTCAGTGGATAGAGCTTGGGCCTGTGGACTGAAGGGTCCCGGGTTCGAGTCCGGTCAAAGGCACATATATACTTGGTTGCAGGCTCCTCCCCAGCCCGGGCCCTGGTTGGGACTCATGCAGGAGGCAACCAGTTGATTCTCACATCAATGTTTCTCTCTGTCTCTCCCGCTCTCTCTTAAAATCAATGGAAACACACCCTCGGGAGGATTAACAACATCTACTTATATAAAAAGCATGGGTGATGTTCATCACGGTTCAGTCCTGCAGGGATTGTCTTGGCAACGGCTGCGCCCCCCCCCCCAGCTGTTTCCGGTGAGGGTGGGGTTTGAGGCAGGAACCCGCCCTCGGAGCATGGACCCACTGAATCCTGGGTCGTTTTGCCAAGGGCTGCGCCTTCCCCAGCTGTTTCCCGTGTGGCCTGAGGGAAGAACCCACCCTCGGAGCACCCAGCAGCAGTCAGTCCTGGGTTGCTGAGGTGGAGGCCACGGCTGTGGTAGAATCTGTGTCTGGCCCAACAGGGGGCATGGTCGGCCTTCAAACCAGATCCTGACAGTGGGAGGAGGCAGCCCCATTCCTCACAGAATCTGCTGTTGGATAGCTTGCTGTCAGTGGCCTGCCAGCCAGGAACCCCATTCTCCTGCACCCCGGACCCTGACAGGAGGGAGGAGGGAGCCCCTTTCCTCACGGAATCAGCTCCTTTTGTTACTGTTTATTAATAAATTTATATATTATTTTTACATACATTTTACTAATTTCCTTTCATCTCTCACACTTCTATTATAGAGAAAGGACAAATAGCAATATTAAAATATCTCTGCTAATTAATTCCCGTTTATTTATTTTTTTAAATTATTTTATTGATATTTTTACAGAGAGGAAGAGAGAGGGACAGAGAGTTAGAAACATCGATGAGAGAGAAACATCGATCAGCTGCCTCCTGCACACTCCCTACTGGGGATGTGTCCGCAACCAAGGTACATGCCCTTGACCGGAATCAAACCTGGGACCCTTGAGTCCGCAGGCCGATGCTCGATCCACTGAGCCAAACCAGTCAGGGCAATTAATTCCCTTTTAATGTGCACGAATTTCGTGCACCGGGCTACTAGTACATATATAAGAATGAAATAAACCAAGAACATCCGCGGGCTGTAGCCCCCTCACGGGCGGGCGCTCACCTCTGGACGTCGTAGTTGGCGTTGAAGAGGCTGCCCTGCCACAGGGAGGTGATCTCCTCCGTCTCCTTCTCCGTGGGGCTCCCGGACACGGTGACGAACATCATGAGGGTCTTGCCCTTCTTGGTCAGCTTCAGAATGCTCTCCGGCTTGCCCGGGTCCAGCTTCGAGAAGTCCACGGGGGCCGCCGGCCGTTTGTGCTCCGGGAGGTCTCCTTCCTCTATGTCGTCGTCTTTCTAGGAGGAGGGGAGCGCCAACCGTCAGCAATGGGATTTGCACCTGGCAGAGGCAGGGCATCCGCACAGGACATGGCGTGGCGTGGAGCAGGGAAGCTGTATCTCTTGATATTTCTATAGCGCAGACATCAGGCCCTCTCGCGGGGCCCCGGGCCTGATTTTTTTTGCGCAGATCCTTTTCTAAAGTCACAACCCCCCGCCCAGGGTGGCTTCTGGGGTAAAAACCGGCGGCATTAGAAACA